CATGAAGATCATCACCGTGGGCCATATGAATATGGAGAAGAAAGTCCTCAATCCATCCCGCGGGATCTGTTGTTCCATCATATGATTCGATATTCACAGGTTTGAACCCTTCTGGGAATCCATGTTCCATTACTTCATCAGTGAAGCAGAGGGGGTGTGCGATGCCTCTATATCCGGCCAGGTCGTGACGTAGCTCGGATGGAGTCCGTCTGCGATCTTCGTCCCGGGCGTGATTACGCTTGTCATGTCTAGCTAGATAGCTGTCGTCATGCGTCGGGGCACGCCCCTGCAATCCGTAGATCGATCTGGTCGGACCTGCTCTATTTTGTAGGTCCTGCCGTAGGTCATATGTATAGCCCCGAGCTGTTGTGTCTCGACCTTTACGGCGAGATAGTATGGGTTGGTGTTCGGCTTGAGTTACCGTTTTGTCCCGGTCACGTGGTGGCCGGTCAGCTGCATTACGTGTTGACGGTACGGGCTCAAGTGCCTCATCGCCGAATTAAGGTAGCAGTTTACGCTTAGGGTAACTTTTAGTTGGGCGCTTGAGGCCGTACTCCTCGGATGCCAGGACATTAGTCCACCTGTCGTTGAGTAGATCTTGATCAGGCCCGATAAAGTCTTCGTCGCCGAGGCTCACCTCATCGTCGGAGAGTGGAGGATAATTACTGTCCTCCGAGTCTTCATTTATGGCCTGTTCATCAGGGCTAACTTGCCCATCTTCCCGATCGTCCTGTTCGGAGGTTGGCTCGACGGGGTTTTCTTGGTCTTCGGCCTCGTCCGGAGTGTTGTTGTCTCTCGTGTCGGTATCGATGTCTTTTCCACGGCATGATTTAGAGCGGCGCCGCTGACGTCGGTGCTTTGGCTGTATCTCAGGAGGTTTATCCTCGACTGGATTTTTCTCACTATCGTCGTCACCCTCTTTGGGTGTATCTAGCATGTACACGCCATACGAAGAGGTGGCCGTACAGCGTCCGGTAAACGGGGGGTTTTGAGCCTGCTCTTCTCCGACATCGTCGTCCATACTGTCGATGTCTTCAGAGCCATAATCGAGCATGTCAGTTAGGTCCTCGACTGTGGCGATGAAGTGGGTAGTGGGTGGGACGTAAAATTCCCTGCTCTCGGCCCCTAGTCCAGGCTGGGCGTAGTTCGGACGTTGCTCCTCTGTAATAACGAGGGATCACATCAAGTTCAGAGCCTCGCTTAAAGGCGAGGTTTGTCCAGGGAGAAAAGAATTCATGGAGTACTGCGAGAAGGGGACTCCATGGCCGAGCTCACACGATGTTGACTCTGAGGGCTCGGAGCTAGTGTCTGGAGAAGAGTTTGGCTTTATGATGGTTGCCAGCGACACTGCTTCCTCCGACTCTCCCGTACTGGGCTTAGTAGCCGCAGATAGTCCGGCGGGCTTAGAAACCCCGTCTTCGGACCTGGCAACGCGCTCCGGATCTATGGCCAAAGCGGAGGTTGGGGTCATGAATCCTTGGAAGATCAAGTCTCCTCGGATATCAGCGACATAATCCAGGTTTCTAAAACTAATCTGGTGACCTGGGGTGTAGTTGTCGATCTGCTCTAGATGGCCAAGCGAGTTGGCCCATAGTGCGAAGCCGCCGAATATGAAGATCTGGCCGGGGAGAAAAACCTCCCCCAGGGCAGCATCATTGCAGATGATTGATGGAGCCATCGAACATTCTGCCGGCGACACAGTGGAACTCTCAATGAAAGCACCAATGTTGGTGTCAAAACCAGCGAATCTCGGGTAGGGGGTCCCGAACTGTGCGTCTAAGGTCGATGGTAACAAGAGACATGGGACATGATGTTTTGCCCAGGTTCGGGCCCTCTTGATGGAGTTAATACCCTACGTCTTGCTTGATTGATCTTGATGAGTATGAGGATTACAAGAGTTGATCTACCACGAGATCATCGTGGCTAAACCCTAGAAGTCTAGCTTGTATGATTGTGATTGTCTCTACGGACAAAACCCTCCGGTTTATATAGACACCGGAGGGGACTAGGGTTACACAAAGTCGGTTACAGAGAAAGGAAATAATACATCCGGACACCATGCTTGCCATCCATGCAAAGGAGAGTCCCATCCGGACACGGGAGGAAGTCTTCTATCTTGTATCTTCACGGCCCAACAGTCCGGCCCATGTCACACAGGTCAGACGCCTGAGGACCCCTTAATCCAGGACTCCCTCAATAGCCTCGTATTTCTTCTCCGATTTATTGGTTTGGTTTGGCCAACTAGATTGGTTTGTATTGCAATGGGAAGAGGTGCTTTGTGATGGGTTTGATCTTGGGGTGCTCAATCCCAGTGATAGAAAGGGACATGACACGCATGTACATTGCTATTAAGGGTAACAAGATGTGATTTATTTAATACATGAGTTTATCTTTCTACATCATGTCATCTTGCTTAAGGCGTTACTCCATTCTTCCATGAACTTAGTACACTAGATGCATGGTGGATAGCGGTCGATGTGTGGTGTAATAGTAGTAGATGCAGAATTGTTTCGGTCAACTTGTATCAGACGTGATGCCTATATACATGATCATTGCCTTGGATATCGTCATTATTATTCGTTTTTCTGTCAATTGCCCAACAGTAATTTGTCTACCCACCGTATGCTATTTTTATGAGAGAAGCATCTAGTGAAAAGTATGGCCCTTGGGTCTATTTTCTATCATATATTAAAACCAAAAATATCTCGCTGCAATTTACTTTTATTTATTTTCTTTTGTATTTTTGTTTGATCTATCAATCAAAAACTACATTGTTTAATCTTGCTCATAACAATTGAGGGATTGACAACCCCTCTACGCGTTGGGTTGCAAGTATTTGTTGTTTGTGTGCATGTGTTGTTTACTAGTCGTTGCTTGGTTCTTATATTGGATTGATAACCTTAGTTTCATAACTGAGGAAAATACTTATCTCTACTGTACTGCATCGTCCTCTCCTCTTTGAGAAAATCCCAACGCAGCTCACAAGTAGCACCAGAGTAACGCTTTAAGCAAGATGACATAATGTTGACAGAATAAAACCCAGCGATATGATTAAACTCCGTTGTTTCACCCTTAGTAGAAACAACAAAATACGTGCCTCGCTACCCATGCTGTCACTGGGTGAGGACACGCAACATTGAACCTACTACTATGCACCACTTCCACTTAAGATCAATGAATCAACTTGGCCAAAGAAAACCCATATGTCGGAAAGCATTACATAGCTATACCAATCACACATTATAAAGTTTAGGAAAAAAACTCAGTTACTTTCAATGAATATTTCAATCATAAACCCACAATTCATCAGATCCCAACAAACACACCGCAAAAAAATATTACATTGGATAGAACTCTGAGGAGAACATTGTATTGAAAATCAAAGAGAGAGAAGAAGCCACCTAGCTAATCACTATGGACCCGTAGGTCCGTGGTAAACTACTCACAAATCATCGGAGGTGCATCAAGGTTGATGTAGATGCCCTCCGTGATCGATTCCCCCTCTGACATAGTACCAAAGAAGACCTCCAGATGGGACCTCGGAAGAAAAGAAGCTTACGTTGGCGGAAAAATTCCTTCGGGTGGCTCTCTGTTGGTTTTGGTATTTATGGGAGTTTATAGGAAGTCAAATGGAGCTACGTGGGACCCACAAACTCAGGTGGCGCGTCCCCCGCGCCTTGTGAGCTTGTGGCTCTCCCATACATCTTCGGTCCTCCTCCCGAAGCTTTTAGGGTCCCTTCTGGTCGAGAAAAATCACCATGAAGTTTCATCGTGTTTGGACTTCGCTTGGTAGGAAATTTGTGTAAAACCAAAAACATGCAAAAAAAATAGCAACTGACACTTGGCACTGAGTTAATAGGTTAGTTCCCAAAAATGATATAAAGTTGCATATAAAGTATCTAAGAGTGATAATATACTAGCATGAAACAATACAAAATTATAGATAAGTTGGAGACATATCAACCTTCTACTTTATTTGAAGTTCATAGGTATCTTGGGATGCACGTCCTTCGTCCACATGGCTCTGACTCCTAGTTTTTGGGACAGGAAGAAAGCACGCCGGGGAGTTGAGGCCAGAGGCGGAGGGAAGCACATTAAGAGTTGAGGCTAGAGGGAGAGGGACATCCAGATAGGGGGGGGGGGAGATGGCACCGAGGTGGTCGCCGAAGGGAGAGGAACGTCGGGTTGGTCACGAGATGTGCACGTTGGCATGGTTCAGGAGAGATTTGAGGAGAGAAAATAAAAAGGAAACATGGAGGTGGGCTGGTGTCCCGGGTTTTCATGCCCGCGTGAACATGAAATTTCATGAAAAAATTTCCTCGTGTGATGAGGCTCCCCTAACATATTGCAGACTGTGGTTGGGCCACTAACATGTGGACATAGATAGGTTGGCCAACATGTTAGAGACCCAACTGCACCTCGTAGTACGTGAGGGGAGTTGTGTTCTTTCTTGTGCGGGAGAGGTGGATGGATGTAAGTCAAGACATACCAACTTTCTTTTAAAATAGAGAGTACTTACACCATATTAGAGCATCTACTTATACCCTAATAAAAAAGTTCTAAAAAGGCGGTTAAAAGCGACTCCAATCAGGCCTCTTCTTCGTCCCTCTTTCTCAGTTTCTCCTCTTCTTCATCCCTCTTTCTCAGTTTCTCCTTAACCATCACCAATACCACACGCATCCGGAGCCAAAAGCGAGCACTCAAAGGAACAAATCAATCCCAAGCAATCCTTCCCGCCGGAGCTTCCTGCCATGACTATCGAGACGCTGAAGGCGCGCATCCTGCGCGTCCTCAGATCGTCCCTCCCCGCTGCCCCTGCCGCCGCATCGGCATCCCTGCCGCCGTCGCCGACCAAGCCCGGCCGCGTCGTGCTCCACTCCACCGACGGACTATCCGACGATGCGTCCTTCTTCGACGCCCAGGAGACCCCCGCCAAGATTAACCTCCCCGCTGAGCCCATCGACGACGACTGGGAGCTCGTTGACCAGGACGGCTACGACCGGGACTCCCTTGCCTCGGGGCCGGCGCCGGCGTCTGATCCCGACGGCATGCTCCGGGATTTCCCGGCCAGGTGCCCACCCGGCGGCGACGAAGCCGTGGTGCTCTATACCACCACGCTCCGGGGCATCCGCAAGACGTTCGAAGACTGTAACGACGTGCGCGCTCTGCTGGATAACCTCGCCGTGGCGTTTCAGGAGCGCGACGTGTCCATGGACCGGGGTCTCCGGGAGCAGCTCTGGGCTGCCACCGGCGAAAAGGCCGTGCCCCCGCGGCTCTTCGTCCGCGGCCACGACCTCGGGGGCGCCGCCCAGGTGCTCGCACTCCACGAGGACGGTCGCCTTACCTCCCTCATCCAGCTGCCGTCACTTTCGCCCCCGGAGGCGGCGGTCAGCAGCAACAAGAAGAGGGAGAAGTGCGAGGCGTGCGGGGGGCTGAGGTTCGTGGTATGCGGTGAGTGCGATGGCAGCCGGAAGTTGTTCGACGGCGAGCGCGGTGGTGTCCGGTGCCACGGATGCAACGAGAACGGACTCGTCATGTGCACACTTTGCTTGTACCCGAGCTGAAGTAATGTAAATTAACTAGCGGTTAATTGCCAATCACCTGCTCCTTTTTTTACTTAATTAATTACCGACCATAGTGGTACCACTTTGGGGTTTGAGTGTGTAATTGGATTTTGTGGTTGTCTTGTCATGTACATACATTATGCTAGTATACGTTTATGTTTATATTTGTGTTCAACCACATAGAGATGTCAGATGTGACATGCATATGCTAGCTTAGATGTCCATGTCAAAAACCCTAGCATGTATCCATCAATCAGATTTCTCATGAAACCAGATGGTTTGATGAAAAATGCACTGGTAATTAATCAGGTGATTAAGGGGAATAAAAAACAGTTGGAATTTCTCTACATCATTTCTGCCATTTGATAATGTTGGCCTTCTCACGTAAGCAACTATTAAAGCAAGTACAATAAGCTTATGCAAGCAGTCTATAGGAATTAAAATATATTTTTTCTGCTCATATGAAGGGGAAAGAAGAGGAGAGAGAGAAGGAGCCGGCTACAGAATAATAGACAGCTGTAACACGCGCTCATAGGCAGTGGCGAAGCTACAGGGTGGCCAGGGTGGGCCGCGGCCCACCCTGAGATTTTGGGTCCGCTTATATACCTATGGATTTTTAACTGGGCTAGAAAAAAAATTGACCCAATAACCATACCGATTGACCCAGTGAACGCAGCCACAACCCTCGTCTCGTCCACTTCCTCCGTTCCTCATCTCGTCCACTGCAGCCGCTTCAAGCCGACGCCATCTGACGCCCTCGTCTCACCGCCGCCGTTCCTCGCGGCCTCGTCGGTCGCTGGCCGGAGCACAGACCGCCTCCCCTTCCCGCCCGGCGCTCGCTTGGCCCTCGGATCCACCGCTCCCCCGTGCCCCTGCCTTGCCCGGCTGCTCCCTTGACTCGGACCGCCTGGCCCTGCCGCCCGCTCGCCCCTGCCTCCAGTGGAGTTCGGCCCTCCGCCCTCCATGCAAAGCCTACGGCCGTCGGTGCTGCTCAGTAGCCAGTCTCTGGCCGTCCAGCGGCAGCACCGCAGCAAGTGTGCAAATTGATTTAAGGTACTGAAAACCCCTAATTTTTTTAATTTAGGGTTTGCCTTTGGCACTATGCTAATGAATTGATGAACACATACATAATTTAGCACATCATTTCTGCCTCAATTAGCTTTATTGATAGAAACTAATTTTTATTGCAGGTTGATGAATGAAGAGGGCCGGAGACATTGTTTCTCTTTTCCAGAGAGAAGCTATGAAGATAGGGAAGAAGAAGAAGGAAGAGAATATGTTGTGACCGAAGAGCAAGCCAAAGAACTTTTGTGTGTGTGTGTGTGCGCGCGCGCGTGTGTGTGTGTGCCGGTTGTGATTGAAGAGCAAACTCAAGAACCAACAGTGTCCATGTCAAATATGACCATAGAGCGAATGTGACCATAAAGCAAACTGTTGAGAAATAAGATGGGTGATAGTCTTTTGGATGATTGCCTAGTCACATACATTGAGGGGGATGCTTTTGCCGAGGTGAATGAAGATGATATAATTGATACTTTCATGACAGTGCAAAAGCATAGACTAGAAACATAGTCTTTTTGAGCTTCTCAAGGTATGTATTATGGTTCATATAGTATGTACTATGTATGCTTCTTTATGCAAAACTTAGACTTAATTGAGAATTTTAGTGTGTTTGTAAGACCGTATTGATCTATCTCTATGTGATATCAGTAACTAGTTAGAACGTCCACATGTCGTATTTCTTGTAAAAACAATTTCGGGGCCGGACCACCCTGATGTCAAATGCTAGCTCCTCCACTGCTCCTAGGCACTATGTGAAAGTGGGATGTGGGTCATGTAGTAATAAAGTTGCACATTTTTATATTTAACTATTGTACTTGCTGGCTATAAGTGACATGGTAACATTGACGCCATCCTGTACCAGGGGTGGCTAACCCTAAGGAGTCCAGCCTCATCAACTACAAGGGAGCACAATGGGCCCACAATAGGGCACTAATCGTAGGAGGCCAGATGACCTTCTTGACACCCAAGATAGAGGGCGGCGGCGCCCCAGATTGCATCCAACATGTAAGCCCTACGCTCTCCTATCTATATAAAGGGAAGTCTAGGGTTCCTATTCATAATCTATCCTCAGATAGAACTCTCGCCTCTCCTGTCTATATAAAGGGAAGTCTAGGGTTCATCTTCATCATCTATCCTCAGATAGGAGAACTCTCGGTAGCCACATCATACATCATTGTAACCCCTCACACGAGATATCCTTTGCTACTTGTGAGCTGCATTGAAATTTCCTCGAAGAGGAGAGAATGATGCAGTACAGTATAGATAAGTATTTCCCTCAGTTAAGAACCAAGGTAATCAATCTAGTAGGAGAACCACGCGAAACCTCGTGAACAACACCTACACACAAAAGAGCAAATACTTGCACCCAACATGACCAAGAGGGTTGTTAATCCCCTTGGCGGTTAATTGCAAGGATCAAATTTGATAATGGTCGATAGACAAAAAACACAAAAAGTAACAGTAAATAAATTGCAGCAAGATATTTTTGGATTTTAATATATGTCAAAGGTAGACCCGGGTGCCATAGTTTTCACTAGAGGCTTCTCTCTCGAATAAAAAGCATACAATGGGTAAACAAATTACTGTGAGGCAATTGATAGAAAAGCGCATAGTTATGATGATATTCAAGGCAATGATCATGTATATAGGCATCACGTTCGAGACAAGTAGACCGACTCCTACCTGCATCTACTACTATTCCTCGACCCATCGACCGCTATCCAGCATGCATCTAGAGTATTAAGTTCATAAGAAGCGGAGTAACGCCTTAAGCAAGATGACATGATGTAGACAAAGTAAATCCAACCAATATGAATAAACCCTGTCATTTTCCCCTTAATGGAAACAATACAAATATGTGTCTTGTACCCTTCTATCACCTGGATATAGATCACCGCAAGATCGAGCCCATTACAAACCACCTCTCCCATTGCAGAATAAATCAATCGAATTAGCCAAACTAAACTTATAGATCGGAGAGAAATACAAAACTATAATAATAATGCATACAAGAATTTAGAAAAGACTCAAATAATATTCATGAATAATCTAATCATGAACCCACAATTCACCGAATCCGAACAAACACACCGCAAAAGAAGATTACATCGAATATATCTCCAAGAACATTGAGGAGAACATTGTACTGAAGATCAAAGAGAGAGAGAAGAAGCCATCTAGCTACTAGCTATGAACCCGTAGGTTTGTGGTAAATGACTCACACATCATCGAAAGGGCAACAAGGTTGTTGTAGAGGCCCTTCGTGATCAATTCTCCTCCGGTAGAGTACCTTAAAAGGCCTCTAGGTGGGATCGCTGAAGAACAGAAACTTGCGGCAGCGAAAAAAGTATTTTGGGTGGCTCTCTTATGTATTGGAAATATTTGGAAATTTATAGAGGTGGAATTACGTCAAGAGGTGCCACCAGGGGGCCACAAGCCTAGGGGCACGCCTCCTGAGCTTGTCGCTCCCTCGTGACTCTTCATATCTTCTCCCAACCTTTTAGGGCCCCTTCTGGTCTAGAAAAAGTTAATCCATAGCTTTTTCTCCATTTGGGCTCTGTTTGATACTGAATTTATGGAAAGCCAAAAACAAGCAAGAAAAACAAGAATTGGCAGTGTGCACTAGGTTAATAGGTTAGTCCCAAAAATGATATATAATTGCATATAAAACAACCAATATTTATACTATAATAGCATGGCACAATCAAAAATTATGGATACGACGAAGACGCATCAAGCATCCCCAAGCTTAATTCATGCTCGTCCTCGAGTAGGTAAATGATAAAAACAGAATTTTTGATGTGGAATGCTACCTAACATGTTCATCATGTAATATTTATTTTATGGTATGAATATTTAGGTCCCAATGATTCAAGGCAATAGTCTATAATTTGACATAAAGACATCAATACTCAGGCATCCCAACAAACAATCATGTCGTTTAAAATATAAATGCTAAAGAACGCTATCCCTACAAAATCATATAGCCTTGTCATGGTCCATCTTTTGGACACAAAGTATAAATCATGTGCAACCCCGGTGTCAGCCAAGCAATTGTGATGTAGGGTAGGAACCCTTGGGGCCGATCTTTCACGATAGGAGCGGATCCCGTGATGAACACGAAGAACACAAGGGGAGGAAACGAAGTGAACACAAAGGAAAACACAAGAGAATCACTAAACCAACAATAACAAGTTACACATGTGCTAGATCCTCGAATACATAGGGTTCACACGGTACACGATCAACCAAGGACGATACAAGGGTAACGGTCTTCTCCGTGAGGAGGTCTTGATGTTCTTCCCTAAAGAGGGGTCTTGAATCCGCTTGGGGGATCTTCTCCGTAGGAGGCTCGAATCTCCAAGGAGAAGGTAACCAAGTGGATGAGCAAAGCTCTCACACAAAATATGAGCTAATCCTTTGCTAAACCTCAAATGGAGGAGGTGGAGGAGTATATATAGTCTAGAGCCACGAAGGGGTAAGTGGGAGAGGGATACAAGGCTAAAGGCCCGGCTGCGCACAGGCAGGTACCGGTCGTCCGGTGGCTCAGAGGGACCGGTCGTCCGCTAGTCACCGGACATCCGCTCGATCTGGTTCGGTTGAGGAGGCATCGGATTTCCGGAGGTGGCTTGTCGTCCGGTCACCGGTCGTCCGGTGGCGTCGGACATCCGTTGGTTTGGCTCGGGTGCGGTGTCGCCGGTCGTCCGGTCCTGGCCGGACGTTCGTTCACTGTGAGAGGCCGGTCGTCCGGTGTCATCCGGACGTCCGCTCGCTGGAGCTTCTTCAGTAGTTCTTGTACTTGGTGTCCTCGCCGTCTGGTCCATGGCATTCCTCTTTGTTCCTGGTCATGCATAGCACATATATATGAGGTAGTAGCCATGTCTCACATGTGGAAAGTGATGGTTCGAAGAGGAGCGAGTTCACCTTGCGTCCAATGG